CGGCTCTCGTTAGCTCGGTTATTGCAGCGGGTTTGGGCGCAGCTTCAGGCTCAGCTCCGGATACAGCGGCTCATGTGCCCGGAGCCATCCAGTCGCATTGATGTGGGAGAGCCGCGGGAGCCCCAGGGGAACCCTGCCTGGCTGCAGGGCTTGCACCAACTCCCGCTCGCAGCCCTGTCCTGGCCCCTCGCTGCCCTGTCCGGTGCTATTTGGCAGCAGGGTCGGGACACGGAGCCTTCACCCTTGCAAGGCTGCTGGGCTTCCCCCTGGGAACGATGCTCAGGGCCCCACCAGGAGCCTCTGCGCCAGGGCTGGCTCCGTCCATGGTTCAGAGTGTGCCTAGGAGCACCGTGTCCTGCAAGGGGGAAACCATCCATGTGCTGCACAGGGCATCGCAGCACAGCTCCGAAGGGGCAGACATTGCAGAGCTGGTGGGAGATCATTCCTGGATTTCCATGAAAGTGGAGGCTGGAAGGTAACAAGTGAAGCTGGGATGGGAACTGGCTCTCGGAGTGGTCCAGAGGGCTAGGTGGTGAGAAGTGTTGTTGGGATCACACGGCCTGGACCCAGAGCGGCCCCAGCACCCACCCGCCAGCAGCACTTGCAGCAATTTGATCTTAACCATCCAAGGACAAGGGTCTCTCCCGACCCCACACCCAGACACTGGCGCTGCCCCTTGCTCTGCTACTGCATCCCGTCTGCGTCAGGCTCCCCGTCCCCAGGGCCATGGGTTGCAGTCACTCTGTGTTGCTCAGCCGTTCAGTTGGGAAGTGAATCCCTGCAGCTCCCAGCCCCGGGAATCCCTCAGGGCTCCCTGGCCACGGCAGGGGAGGAGGATCAGACTGGAGGCGCCCTGTCCTCCGGAAAAGGCACCGGAGCGACAGCGGGCACTGGGACATCTCAGTGCGACAACCAGGCCGGTGGCTCTATCCCCTCACACGGGCGATGCTGCTGCGCTCCGGGATGCCGCTCGGCACTCCCTGCATCCCGCATCCCAGTGCTTCCAGGGAGGGGAAACCCACATCCCAGTTATGCTGATGTTCCCGGGAAGCCCACGTTCCTGGGAAGCAACACAGGGCAGTTTGGCAGCGTTTGCTTGGGACGTGAGGGGTACGCAGATCCTATGGGGCTGGGGATCGCTGCAAGAGGGCTCTGGCTGCCCCGCATCGTGCTGTGAGGATGGCAGTGGGATGGAGGAAGCTGCTGCCTGGTGCGGTTTCTATTTGGGAGGGTATTTCGGGGTGTGCCAGGCTCGGCCTCCACCCCGCTTTCACAAGAGCCGGCTCCTTCGGGAGCAGGTTGTTCTCGGCCCCGGCCACGATGCAGCTGGGAGCCACCAGGCGCCCGGGATGAGCGTGGAGGAGGTTGAGCAGCCTCCTCTGTGGGGCTGAGCATGCCGGAGGCCGCACAGCCTCTGCTGTGGGGCAGGGTAGATGCTGTGGGGCCAGACCTGGCTGCTGGGAAGAGCTCCTGGTGATCAGGGGACACGGAGCAGCCTGCCCAGAGCCGCATCCACACGCTTTGTGTGGGACAGCCTGATGGGAGCAAGTTGGGAGATGTGCGGGCTCTGCTGCCAGCGTCGCCCCCAAAGGCCAGCGCTCGGTCCCCTTTCTCACCCCATGTGGGTCAGTCCTTGGCCCAGGCCCAGGCCCTGGGCTCCGCCAGGTCACAGCAGGGATGGTGCCGGGTTCCAGGAGCCCAGGGCTTTGTTGAGCAGCGTTTTGGGCAGAGTCTTAGCTTGGTACAGACTTGTCTCAGGGCCCCTGGGTATCGTCACATCCCCTTTTCAACCAGAGCAGCTCTTGGAGGAAAGATGGTTTAGAAGCGGCCTCAGCAGCAGCAACTGCTTGAATGCTCCTAACCGAAAGGAACTTGCTGAGCTTGTGAAGGTGGGAGACCTCCCTCTGCTCTGCTCTGCTCTACTCTGCTCACACAGTTGCTCCCAGGGCTGTCGTAGCGCGGAGCTGGAAGGCAGGGCACTCGGATGTGATCGGAGGCAGGAGGGGAAGGGGATGAGCTCGGCCGCCGCCATCCCGCATGCGTGTCGGGCACCCCGTCTCAGCAGGACCCTGCGGCCACGGCCGGTCCCTGCGCTCGCGCCCCAGCCGGGCGGCCGCCCCCGGGCCACATCCCGGCAGAGGGAGCTGTGACATTATGTGACACGAGCACGCGGCGCCGCCGGAGCGGGACCAAGGGAAACACCGCTTGGGATTCCCAGCCTTTTCCTGAGAACCCACCAGCTGAGCACACTCCAGTGCCTGAAGTGCTTTCAGCTGGAAATCAAGCCAAGATTATTCCAGATACAAAAGCTCCAGAAACCACTTATAAAACCTAAGAGCAGTTTTTGCTGAGGTGTCTTTACGGAACAGCCTGACTAGAGCGGCCTGAACAGAGGTGAAGGGCGAGGGGTTGGCTTGTGGCTCTGCATCCCGGCACAACTCGTTTCCAAACGCCAAACACTCCGTGCTTGGCTCGCGCTTGGTGCAGGAAGACCTCGCGCCCTCGGTCCAGAGCATGAGGGTGTCGCACGCGCCCTGCCACAAGTCGCCGTGCTCGGGTTATTCCTTATCGTTCACATCTCTGAGATGGGGCGAGATAAACAGCTAGATAATCCCTGGTGCAACTGAGCGTGTTCCTCCAGCTGCACATGGAGCGGCAAAGTGACTGTCCGCTCACGGGCAGGATTTATGTCCATGGATGCTCTTGTGCCTCTCCAGGCTAGACTAGAGCTTCCCCTCTCTCTGCTAGATCCAAGGCTCAAGCCTCCCTGAGAGGATCCAGCAGAGCCCAGGTCCCCTCTGCAGCAGCAGGGGCACCGTGAGGCTGGGACTTGGCTGCTGCTGCTCTAACGAGGGAGGCAGGGACACGGTCACAAGAGGAATCAATCAAATCTCACCTCGGATTTGTTAAGATCCAGGAGACCTTTCAGTGCTTGTAGGATAAGCCTAAGATTGGATGCCCTGGTCAATGGGGTTATTTGATCCACGGTTGTGTGTCTGCTGTGGTCCAGCTCCCTGCTCCCTCCACTGCAGCTTTGGTACCCCTGTTAGTAACCTATGGGCTATCTAATGGCAGTCACGCTGTCCGTGGCTTTTACTATCTCACCTGAGTCAGGCCCAGCAACAACGTAATCCAGGTGGCACTTCTCTAAAGCGGTAGTTTGCATCACAGCCCGCGCAGGCCCGTTGCCAGCACGGCCGTGGTGACTCTCTCCCATCGGGCTGTGTCACTGCCGGGTGAGATCAGGTGAGGACGCAGGTCCCCTGCTCGCTGCTGCACCCAGAGACGCTCCTTCCCACCACAACCCATCCAGGCACCATCCCGTAGGACACTACAGCACAGGGGCTGGGAGCTGAGGGCCTGGAAAACGAGCGTGACGGTCAGCGAGAGGAGGGCCGGGTCCGTGTGGAACTCCTGACATGACAGCCCAGAGCTGCGTCTGGAGCACGGGTCAGTCAGAGCTGCCCAGAGGAGCCTCCTCGCTGCAACCCAGCAGTTTGGCTCCGGCACCGGGCTCGGCTGCGGGAAGCCCCTGGAGGAAAATGCCCAGGCCCTTTACACAGAAACTGCTGGCACAGCTCCGAGCCCAGGGAGACGGGGCAGGGGTCTCGCCTCTGCAGGATGGACTGTGCGACCGGGGTGCCGGAAAGCACCCACCACCACACTGAAAACACAACCTTCGTTCCAGAGTCTCCCTCCAGAGAGCACAGACTTCGTTCATAAGTGGCAGAAGTCAGAGCTGGGCTACGTCTATCTAAAACACCCAGAAAACAAGACAATTAAAGCTCAGCCCTGGAAACACAGTATCAAACAACACCCCCAAAGCAACCAAGAACCCAGAGAGGGGCCAGGAAGCCCCACTTCCCTGCAATCCATCCCAAACATCAACCACTTTGCTCAAGGAAGTCTGGGTGCAATTATTTATTTTGGGTCCCTTTGAGAAGACTGTCGCTCAACTCCTTCCACTCGTGGCTGCATGTGGTCTCTCAGCCTGCAACTACGTCTCTGCAGCGCATCCGCCTTCCTCCGGAGAGCGGGCAACTGTCGGATGAAGCTGCCTGGGCCGAGCTCAGCAATCGCCCCTCGGCACCAGGAATCCCCTGGGATCGCTGCGGGGCTGAGGAGCAGAGCGAGGGAGCCGGAGGGCGGTTCAGAGGGACTGGTGGGGACTGCATCCAGCTGCCCCAGGAAAAGAGTCTCTGGCTTGTGTTTTCTGGCAACTTAGAACTGGTTTGTGTTTCTTGTTCTTGGACAAAAAATATGCTGCTGCTGCTCCTGCTGCTATCTGCAAAGGGAAAGAGAAAAATCTATCAGCACGCTGGGGATCCAAGAAAGAGCAGTATTGAAAACCAGCAGGAACACACAGACATTTAGAGGCCGGGAAGCCCAAACAGCTGTGTCTGCAGTGACTACAATGTCAGCGGATATGACCGTAGGGAGACCCAATCTAGTGTCATCCATTCACCTCAAAGGCAGGCGTGCGGTCCTTTGGGACCAGCCAGCCAAACCCTGGAAATGCCAAACGCAGCAAGACCAACTCCAACCCAAATACGCAATCTCCAAAGCTTTGAGTAAGAACTTAAGCATTCGAGGAAGGTTTCGGAAAGCCAATGGGCACCGGCCTCCGTCTGCTCCCGCTGGATCACTGTGGTTGATTTCCTAACACCTTCAAGAGGTGAAGAGTCAGGACAAGTGTGAGCATGGCTGAAAAGCCCAGCTCCAAGGACTCAGAAGCATCAGACCACAGAGCAGTCCACATTCATGTAGGTTATGAAACAAAACTTCATGTCCCGCCCAGCCACTTTAAGGCTGTTGAGTAATGAACTAAGCCTGTTGCCACCTTCCCAAACTCTCCTTGTTTCCACACAAGCAGGAATCTGCCCACACGCAGAAGCGCTGCAGTTGCCTGGGCTCTTACAAGTAGGTTGAAACCAAACCCTTACGCTACTCACACCTCCGCTTGCTGAAAAGTTTAATGGCTCAGCAGCCGCCTCTCCTACTTACAGTTCAGTGTCCACGATGACGTCTGGCCTCTCCAAAGTCTGCCGTCTCCGCTGGATGGCATCCACAATCTTTTTCCTGGGACCCAGTGGGATGTTGATGCTTTTCAGATCATTGTCTGAGCATAGCATGAGGGCCTCCAAGTCAATCTTTTCCTTCTTCAAGATGGAGATGAACTCAAACATGTGCAGAGAAGCCAGGAAAGTCTCCAAGGGGCTGGTATCTGGTTCATCATCATCATCTAAGCCCAGCTCCACCTCGTCCCAGGGCAGCTCCTCTGCGTTCCTCTCCTGCAGGCTGTTGGCACTGCCAATGCTGTCGTTGAGACTTGGCGAGCGCTGCAGGCGGCTCCGCAGTTTGACACCTACCCCGTCGGCGTTGCTTTCTCCCAGCGCGCCAGTGTCCTCCCGGCCGATCCCAAAGAGCCCGCTGCTCACGTAGTTGCGCCGGAACACCATCGTGCCCAGCCCGGGGCGGTTGAACAAGGAATCGTGGCCAGAGTCGGTGCTGACTTCCGAGTGGGCTGAGTCCATATGCAAACCTGGATCGCTTATGGCACGGGAGACGGTATCTTCATCTGTGAGGAACATGTCTCTGATGTTACGCCGAGTCCACTCCTTGGGGCTGGCGTAGGTGCCTTGTTTCACGAACATGACATCATTCCCTAGCTGCAGGCCAGACAGAGACCGCACACTTTTTCTCCCATCCTCATATATTTTGAATGTCCCATCCACTTGCTTCTTCTTCTCTAGCTTCTTCTGGATTTTCGTTTTTCCCTTGGCTGTACCATGGATGGTGGCTTGGGAGTATGGCAGGGAAGTCACCATAGACATGTGTTGGAATTTCTTGCTCAAAGTGCTACTCGAATAGCTAGAGAAGCTCATGGTGTCAGAGCTATCTGACATCTCCTTTTTGTACCGTTTCTCCATCCTCTCGTGGTGCTTCTTCTGCAGCTTCACGCAGTCCTTAATCCTGCGCTCCGCGTCGCGGAAGGCCTTGTCCTTCAGCTTGCTCACCAGCTTGGGGTTGAGGCTGCTCTGCTTGGCAGCGATGGAGTCCAGGTAGCGGACGCACTCCATGTGTCCCTTCATGGCTGCCATGTCTAGCGGGGTGTGGTAGTCATTGTCCAGGCACCAGATGTTGGCCCCAAAAGAGATGAGGAAGGAAAGGCAGTTCAGGTGACCGTTGGCTGCTGCCAGGTGGAGGGGGGTGTTCCCCCAGATGTCACATTTGTCTGGATCCCCTCTAGAGAACAAGGAAAAGAGCTGGTTAGCTTACAGGTCTGACCGACAGAGTCTACTGAGGTGTTTCCTAGAGAACAACAGTTGTGCGGGGGCAAATCAACAGCACCAGCTCCATGAATCATTTCCTCCTCAAAATACAAACCCGCAGGCCTCCAGCCCCCTCAGCTTCACTTTTAAATCTTCTGGAGACTTGTACCAATGACATGGGATGGAAGCCTGCGGCACTTCCCATAACTGGATTCAACTCTCAAGAGACATGTTCCTGCTTCCAAACAATCTTTGGAGAGAAGACAGGCTGGATTCTGACTAGACCAGAATTGAGATGTGGGGTAGATTCCAGCTCAGGTTTTTAACTTACAAAATTTCAGAAATAAAACATTCCATTAAATGCTATGCAGTTTCCAGCTTCAAATTTTGGCTTCATTCTCATTCCGACTCTCATTCCATTCCATCCTAAAACATCCCAGCACACATCCGCTCCTTGGGGAAGGTCCCACCGTGGTGGCAACATCACCAATAAATGGGCCATCCTAAGCCCTGGTTCTGAAAACCACCGGCTGCTGCCTGCTCTAACATAATGTGAATTAAATCCTTCACCCTTCTCATTTGTACAAAAGTTCAGGACAGAAGAGGACAGGATTTCAATAGAAAATAAGAACAGAGTTGTGAAGAGGACATGATTTCAATAGAGAATGAGAACAGAGTTGTTAAGAGAACACGATTTCAATAGAGAACAAGAAGAGAGTTGTTGGCGCAGGCCTAGGGGCTGGCTTTTTGTGGGGGGTTTCGCCGCCCCACGCTGGGTTTCGATTGCATGCCTCGAAGTGAGTGGGTATTAGCACTCCCTGAGAATCTAGTTTCAGAGAAAGTGCAGATTAGGTTTCTGCGCTCCCCAAGGGCTGCACACCCGGCCAGCGCCGCGAGCGGCTCTTCTCGCGCCGCGTCAGCCCCTGCCCCGCAAGCTGTGGAGGGGGCGCAGCCGCTTGCCCGCGTCTCCCATCTCTTGCGATGTGCTGGGCCCGTGAGGCACTGGAGGCACCTCTGCCCTCCTGGCAATCCTCTGCATTGGTGGTGTGCTGAAACAGGAGCTAGTTCACACCGCTGCAGGCCGGAGCGCGCGCGGATGATACGTGGCCGGCAGCGGCGCCTGTGCCCGCCGCGCACCGGCCGAGCCTTTGCGGGAGCCTCTGCGGCTCCTTCGCTCTGCACAACTCTTGCCTGTTGACTCGCCACCTTCCCGGTGAGCGCTAGGGGAGCCACGGCCTGCCCGCAGCCCCAGGGCTCCAAATCCGGCCGCCAGGATTGGAAGAGGGCTCAGCCAGCGCAGGCATGAGGACACTCGCTCTGGGCCTCGCTTTGGGCCTTCGCTGGTAGGACCTGCCAGGGAATGCACCCTCGAGACATCCACCCTGTGCTATTTTACCCCTCGCTGCTCCTCGCTGTGTTGACAGTTGGGCTGGGATGAGCAGAGCACAGAAATGTCTCCTAAATCCCACGTGTCCGCTGTGCTACAGCCCATCTCCCTGGAGAGAGGCCCAAAGGTGCTCCCGTGAAAGGGGGCCAAGATTGCTAGAGCCCGGACTTCTCCCCCTGCCAGCTGTGCTGCTCCATTCCTTCAGTGCCCGTGTTCACATGCAAGACCCAGCGACATCCCCTTTCGGCACACGAGCCCTCCCACGCTCAGGACACACTCCAAGCCCCCTGCACGCTGCTCTGAACAGCTGTGCTCTGGCAACAGTGGGGCCTGAGCAGAGCTACGCAGACTCTAGCTTCCCATTTTCAGGCTTTGCCAAAATATCTTAGCTATCTGATATGGAAGAGGAATGATTCTGCAGAAGGCGTAAGGAATAAAGCCAGCATCCGGAGGTTAAACTGGAAATTATTTGCATTTGGGGTGGGAGTTTCCCATCAGGACTCCTTAATAACCACAGGGAGGTGCATTCAGCTTTCCTCTTACTGGGAACATCAGTAGCTGCTCTGCAGCTGTTTCCACAGTATTTGTAGAAATCTAATATCTCTACAATCTTCAGTCTTCTTGCAAATTCAGCAAGAGCTGGTCAAAAGGTTCAAAAAAATGTGCAAGGGAACTAGAGAACTAAGGGAACTTCTGTATTTAGAGCCTCCAATGTCTCTCATTGAAGCCAAGAAAGGCTTCAAAGAACAGGCCTTGGAAGAACAGGGGAGGCCGCAGGAACGAAGGAGCTGGAAGCAGCTGAAGCAGAGGAGGGACCTGCCCCTACTGTGGCAGAGCCATGTTACTAGATGAGGTAACTCCCTAACCACCCCCTACCCTCACTGTGACATGTCCAGGCTGGGAAATTCATGGGGAACATCAATATTTGATGAATTGCAAGAGAGGAGTAAATTATTGATGGAGCTGGATTAAAGAGCCAGTGAAACTAGAACTGCTGGGGCTGGCGGTGGGACTCGGCGCGTGAACGGTCATTTGTTGACGTGTGCTTTGAATGGGGACATGTGTGTCAGCTCGGACATGGATGGGCAGATGAGCCAGGCCACCATGAAGGACCCAGTCCCTGCATGGGCTTCTTATTGGGACAGTGATTTAGCAATGGACACCCTGGAAAAGACCTTGCTTCCCAAACCAAGTACTTATCTTGCTGGATGCTTTATCCACGTGCTGCATCTCAGAGCTCCTTCTCATGTCCGTCTGGTTTGGGTGGTAAAGGGCAAAGCCAGGAGGATCTTGGGAGACTCATATGTAAAGATCTCCTTTCCTTATGCTTTTTATTGCCTTGGGGGAAAGAGCATCAAAACTGGTTTTCCCTGGATATTCCCACTGTCTAGACACCAAAAGATTAGAGCAAAATTAGATCCCTGAGTCCTTTTGCCCCATAAAAGTCTGACAGAGGCACTAAAAATGCATCAAAAGGAAAGAACAAGGGTGACTTGCAAAGCAGCTGCATTTGATCTGCCACTGATAATAAACATGAGGCCTCCCCTCCGGCAGGTCTCAGACCAAGCAAACCTTCACCTCGAGGGCACCGCACTCCCGGAGATGCTGACTGCAGGGTCCACTAAGTGGGAACGTATTTTAATAACAAGTATGAAGCTCAGTGCTTCTCAGCTTCAAAGCGTTTTCAAGTGCTGAGTCAACACCTGTAATAATTATTATTAAAAACACTGTTAATTGAGCCCCTTGGGTGGACATGTGCACCTCCTGAGTCACTGCGTGCTCCCTGTGACGCGCACCCTCACTCCCTTCCTGCCGGCTTTTCCCCCCACTTCTCCCATGGGATCTCAATTAGCCTGGGAATCCACCGACACTTAGACACGTCCTCCCCTGGCTGCGTGTGTGAAGTTCCTCTGATAGCAAAGGGCTGGCTCACCCCCTGGCAGCGCGTCCATGGACGGAGCAGCCCCTCCGAGCGGGAGCCGCCTGGGCGCAGGGCACCTCTGGCTCCTCCAAAACACGCGGCATGGTTGGCGCTACCGGAAGAGGAAGATTCCTGGCCTCGAGAGAAACAACCGAGTGCAACAGGGCCACTTGGGGAAGCGACTCAAGGAAAGCCTAGAGATGAGCCCAGTGAGATGAGCTGGGGATGCAGTTTTGGGTCTTATATCCCAGGTTTTGTCCCAGATGGGCCTGGTGGCATGTCAAGGATTAAGCAAGTCCAGATATCCCCCAAACTAGCAGCAGACGCTCTAAGGAGGCTCCTCTCAAGGCCTTCCCCCTCGTGTATTTCAGCAAGAAGCCAGATTGGCAGTTGCTGTGGGAGCCGATGTTACTAATGATTATTAATGCCACTCGCACGGCAGCAGCGCCTAGGGGCACGTCTAGCGGCCCGGGACGTCACCGCGGCCAGGTCCCACGGCGGCTGGAAGCAGCCAGCTCAGGCACCGGAAGCAGCCCGGCCGTGATGGCGCTCCACCCAACCGCTTCACCCGCGCGGCCGGTCACCACCCCGGCAGCTTCCCACCAACACTGCCACGCTGCTCTTCCCGGCACCCGCGTGGCCACCAGCCAGCGAGGAAGCTCCGTCCCCTTCACACGTCCCTCCTCATTGCGCCCGGCTCTGCGGCACTTCCCTCCAGCAGCCTGGTGCACGTCAAGGGCCAGCTCTTTTCCTCCAGCCCCTTGCTTCAGTGGGCGCCTCATCCCACGGCCATTAAAACTCAAAGCTCTTCTTGACAGGAGGCACCCATGGGAACGCCAGGTGACACAGCTGATGGTGGTCCTGCCTAGCAGGAAGATGCATCCCAACCCCTCTTGCGGTCCATTCCAAGAAAAAGTCCTGGCTTTTCCCAGGCAAAGCCCTAGGGGCTGACGGGAGCTGGGCCTGTGCCTGTCGTAACGAACCGTGCTAGAGAATTACTGCCTCCGAGAAGCTGCAGCACCAAATGCCAATTAGCCTGTCATTTCCCAGCCGTCACATTAATTGAGCTTGTGTCCCTCCCTGGAGTGCAGCCAGAAGGAAGAAAGAGGCTTTTTGTGTCACTAGCAAGATGGACAGGCCACTGCTGACCCCTCCATCGTGTCCCCTCACTCTGTCCCCATCCGAAGCCAGCCCCAAGGCTCAGGCAAATTGGTGGCCCCCAGGAAGCCTCCCCTGCTCCGACATGGACGTAGCAACAAGTCTGCTTCATGCAATGCAGGCTGAAATGATGAAGCTCCCTCCTGCACCCCAACACCAGCAGCACCCTTGTACCTTATTCCCCGTCACTGCTTCATCTGGTGACACAACGTGCCAAACGTGGGGACACGTTGTGAGGACAGCAGAGCTTTGCTAAGCCTAAACACCCACCGGCCAGGCTTGCAACGAGGCACGGAATGAGCAGCAGAGATGTCCCCTGCTGGTCCATGGTGCCCCTCACGCAGGGCCCCTCCTGGCCGGCCTCCCTCGCTGTGCCGGGCTGTTTCCAACAGCCTGGCCCCAGCTCCTGCCTTATGGAGCGCTGAGCCCAAGGGAACACGCCCCGAGCCCGTCCGGGCCCCGGAGCTTCACCAGGGGGGTTTCCAAGCCCCTCAGGCCCCCGAGCTCCCGTCACCGCTGCCCCAGGGCTGCCCACGTGCACGGTCAGCCACGTTCCTGCCCCGAGGAGCAGGCCTGAAGGAGGAATATTGCCACAGCCGAGACCACGTGCTGGCATTCTGGCACTGCAGCGGCTCCCAGAAGGGAAAATTCCAGGCTTTTCCTGGAGGGAGGGCCTGGGCGACTTGGCTTCTCCAACTTGGCAGCTCCTAACCCTGTTTTGGAGGCTTTGTGACCCCAAACCAGCTGCCAGGAGCACAGAGCCCTGCCACCGTGGAGGCCTGAGGAGGCTTCTCTGATCTCTGAGGATGCGACAGACAGACTGATGCTCCGACGCAGATCCGTGCTGCCCCCAGAGCAGGGCTTCGTCCACCATCCATCACTTAAAGGGCAGCAGGCTGTTTGCCCTGTCAGCAGCAGATATATATGAGGCTATTAACTAAACAGCAACTGCGATGCACCCGAACGTGTCTGCTAGGACCTTTTATAATGAATTTATAAAAGGGGCCCCTGTGCAGGAAAGCAGCCCTCGGGCTCTCTGGCGAGGGGGCCGTGGGCTCCCAGGGAGGAGCACTGGGTTCCCCAAAACTCGCCTTCCTGCACCCAGCTCCCCACGGGCTTCTCCAAAGGCCCCTGGACATAGAGGTGACCGGGCGGCCGCGCGCAGGGAAATCTCCGCGTCGGAGCAGGTGGTCCCGCTGAGCCCCAACCCGAGGTGGAGCAGCAAAGCCCTTCCAGGAAGGCAGGATGCATGTGCAGGCTCCCAAACCCAGCACTGTGCCTTGGCATTGGGGGAAAAAAGAGAAAAGGCCAATCCGTGCCGTCACTGAGCTCTCGGCACTGGGCTGAAGCCTCCTCCCTGGAGATGAGGTGTTTGGAGAAGGTACCTGGAGCGGGAAGGAGGGCCTGGAACTTGCTGCCAGGGGAGGTCGGTGAGACCAGGCGAGGCAGGAGCTGCTCAGGGAGGGACTGGGGATGGCAGAGCTGGCCTGAGCTCAGGCCTCCCCACCAGTTTCCCACCAATAACATCCAAAGCCTTCTGCTCAGGCGAGCCCCCTCAGTCATGCTCCCTTCTCCCCATCACATCCACACGTATGGCCCCACAGATCTACACAGTCAAGGCTTCTTCCAGCCCAAGCGAGGGACCAGGAGACATGTCAGCAACAACGACCCCAGCGGGGGCCTGCGCTAGACGAAATCCGCTCGCAGGAGGCACAGACTCCTGAATCTCCTTCAGGCGCGCAACAGGTAGCCCTTGGGTCACACATTCAGATCTCACATTAGGTCAAACGGACCAGCACCACTGCCTGCCAGCTGGCACAGCCCCCATCTCTCCTGCCTGGAAACATTCCTTGTAATAGAAGGAGCACTTAATTCTCTCCGTTCCCTATCTTAAAAGGGCATTTTTAGGGTGACATGGTGGCTTTGGGACCTGCCTGGCTACAGGACCTGACCCAGCACCACGAAGCGCTTGCAGGGGGTGCAGTCCTGCCTGCAAGCTCGCACAGGGCATGGGGCAGCCCCACAGCCCCAAAGCACTGGATCTCTTGCAAAGCAAGAGGAGAGAAAATAACAGAGGGGAGGGCAGGAGAGGGGCTGTGGGGGACAGAAGGTGTCGGCTCCTGGGGCTCCCGCACCCACACCGACCTGCGAGCAGGGAAGGGGAGAGACGGGGTCCCTGCTACTCTATCCCACAGAGAGGAGCCCCCAGTGCTCACCCTCGGCTCACGATCAGGCGCAGGGCGTCCAGGTTGCCGTGATAAGCGGCCCAGAGCGTGGGGGTCATGCCATCCTCGTCCGGCGAGTTCAGGTCCTTCTTGGTGGCTTCCTTCAGCAGGTCCAGGTAGCCGTCCCGGGCTGCTCGGTGGTACTGGTCGTTCATGGTGCGGAGCCGTCCCCGGGCGAGCGCATGGGGAAGCGGGCGCCCAAGGCGGGCTCAGAGGACGGGCATGGACGTGGGGAAGGGGGAGCCGCCGGCAGGGCCGAGCTCGCCTTGCCGCAGCGCCCGCAGCACCAGGACACCTGAGAAGTCCTGCCCGGGAGGCAGGATCTCCTTCGAGCCCAGCCAGCCAAGCTCTGCGACGCTCCCCCTGGGTCCTGAGCGCCCGCGGGCGCTGCTCACAATGAGCCGTTCAGGCGCCAGCTCCGTGGCGCCTTGCAAGCTCCAATTAAGCAGCCTCGCTGCTTCGGGCTGGCAGCGCCTCAGCCCAGCGCCGGGACGCAGCGCCAGGCAGCATCAGCTCCTCAGGGCCAGAAACGCCCCCTAAACAGAGCCCCCTGCCAGCTCGGCCCAAGGGACGAGGCTTTCCAACACCGCCCCCGGGCACCCAGCTGCCCCCCAGGGGCGGGGATCAGCAGGGCGCAGGGCTAAAGCTAGTGCAGGGGGAAACGTGGGCTGTCGGAGCACCCGCAGCCCCGTCAAAGCAGAGCAAGTGGGTGCTGTCTGGTGGCTCTCTCTAGTGTCAAAACAGCTCAGAGTCCAGCTCTTTGTCCAGCTTTTCCTGGTAGAAAAGACTGCAGTGTGTAGATACCCCTAGGTTATCCCTATGTGCAATGTATAGATACCTCCAGGTTACTAAATAGCAGGAAACCCAGCGGCCTCCCCTGTCCTTGCGCTCTCCTCCTGTTCCCGCTGGATTCTGCGCTTAGGAGAATCACAACAAACTGCGTGACGCGAATCTGCAATAACCCAGGGTACCTCAGGCAGGCTGGAATTGCCTCTTCTCCCTCTGCAGATGCCTCTCCAGTGTTTTAGGATCTCTGCTGCAATGTGTAACAGTGTCTGGTGTCCAGTTTCTTTAATGCGAGCGCAACATTTATGGTAGTGATATCAGCTGCCAGCCCTGCAGGGACTGCTAGGAAGACTGGATGCTCCCAGGGCCGGATCTCATGAGATTCCCGGGCTTGGGGCACCCTCTGCTGTCGGGAGAAGCAGTCAAGCATGAACGCTGACCACAGCACACGACTGTCAGTGCACATTGCACGGAGCAGTGAACCGCAACCCCCGGGACACGGTGTCACGGAGGAGGAATTTCCTGTTCCTCACTGTGTGCAGTCCTGAGCGTGCCCCGCAGGACCTGCGTGTTTCACCTCTGCGGAAGCGATCGCCAGGACTGCCCTCGGCCTCTTCCACCAAGGCCCCCCGACAGCGGACAGTTTGCCCTTGGAGAGGGGAAAGAGAGACTGAGCAGATGGGTGCAGAAGGGAGGAAACAGAGGGTGGGGGAAAAGGGGAAAGTCTGCGAAAGAGCAGCAAAGCTGAAATGGGATGGAGTGAAAAGGAAGGAGAGGGAGGTAAAAACAGAGAGAGGGAAGGAGGAGAAGAAAACATGTTATGTTTCAAGCAAGGAAACAGCCCCCGACAGCAGAAGGGTGGCCCAAAAGCAGTCCCAGGTGCCTCTAAACAAGCTGCCACCAATAGCCCCAGGGTGACCAACTCGGAGTCACTCTCCCAGCTGCCTGGGGACACCCACACACACCACAGGAGGGTCCACGCCCTGCACGGGGACACTCACGGTGACAGACTCTGCTCACTGGCTCAGCCTTCCTGCACAAGACCTGACAGACGCCTGGGAGCAGCATTTGCTGCCGGGCTCCTTCCAGAGGAACAGCAGTGCAGCAGTGCCTACAGTTCATTGCTGTGCCAGTGTAGCAGTGCCTACAGTTCATTGCTGTGGTTATTGAGTGATTCTTGTATTATTACTAATTAAGCTCATTACAGTTACTACGCACATATCGTGGCTCCCAGGGGGGATTGGGAGTGAAGCCCAAGGCAGTAAAAATTGTTTTCCCTGTTGCTGGATGTTAAGGACAAAGGAGGAAAAATCAGTGCATTTTAGCCCAGAGATCTCCAAACTTGTGGCTTCTGCAGCTTATTCTTAAAAGAGTCTCCAAAGACAATGATATCAGCTCAGATTCACTGCTCAGGAGTCGGGTTCCCCTGGGAAAGTTTGAGCTAGGTACAGAATGAGAAAAAAGGAAGTCATTCACCCAAAAGAATAACCCATAGGGATTAGCAGAGTGCAGGTCCCAGCAGTGCTGGTGGCAGCCGGCTGGTGGCAGCACGGGAAAGTCACACCAAGGTCTCCCTGGACCGCACAGGACCCAGGTGCTCCAAGGCCAGTGCCAGGCTCGCTGGTCTGGTGCTGGGTCTCCGCTGGGCAGCACGGGCAGGTTCTGCAGCACTGCAAGAAGGAGCACTGGGGTTAACAGGTAGGAAAGGGATGGAGAAACCACACAGCAAAGAGCCCTCCTCTGTAACCTGCCCCAGAGGGGACAAACTGTAGGGGAATCTCAAAACAGACATGTTCCTAGAAGGATAAAACATCTCCTCATGCACTTGGAGCTGCTCTGGTCCTCCCCAGACCTTTCACTGAAATGTAACAGTGAGGATAAGAGAGATTTTGAACAAAAGCTTTCCCCCAGACTCCAGCCTGGCAAACAGCTGAATCCCACGTGCTTCGTGTTTTGTAACATCTCTTGCTTCCCCTGAGCACTGGCAACCTCCTGGAGCAGATCCTGAGGTCCCTGCCAGCCTCAACCATTCCAAGATTCTGCCAGGGGCTGGAAATGTCATCCTACCCCAAAAAGTCAAAGGACAAGTGTCCACAATGGGGAACGTGGATTCCAGACCAAATACTACTTTCTTCTAGTACTGTACCTCCCTTGTTACTGGCAGTGTGGGAAAAGACTGGGCTGCCCTTGGTGCAGTAAGGACAAAAGCAAATTTCTTCTTTTTCCTCATAGATCTTTCTGTATGGGGAAGGCTCAGAGCATATTAATGAAATCAAACAGGAAGAGGCTTAATATTTACCATACTCAGTTAACCAGAAAGCCAAACCCCAAAACATTAACCTTTTTTTTTGCGCACTAATCACTTAAAACCATCTTCTTCCAAGGGAAGAGAAGATTTTGTCCCTTCATGGCAATGGATTTGTTAGGATGGGTTCACTCTGCTCATGAAGACTGTGCCTCTGCAGCAGAATGGTCCAGGCTGTGCTGTGCTCTCCTTAGACATGCCTAGGTGTAGCTCACTCCATGCCCGTCCTGGGTAAATAACCCTGATTTCCTCATCTCTCTCCTGCTTTCCTAAAATCAGCTATTGCACAAAATGGATCATGTGAGTTTCTCCGGAAAGCCCGCGAAGCACCAGTATCAGCAGCTCCAGGGATGGTATAAATCACAGAGACATCCCAACGGGTATAAATGCTTGGGCTGACCGAGCTTCAGCAAAGGGAAACGTCTCAGACAGCCTGGCAAGACCAGAGATTTGGATTCCAGGCAGCAAAAAAAGGTGAGTGAAATTACTTACTTCGAACAGTTACTTTGCTTTTTTTTAATGCTTTTCATAGGACATCAATGAAATATCAAGTCTGCCACAGACAACAGGTTTTAGAGGAAGCAGGGATAGTTCATATCTTTACAGGAACTGGTAGAAAGCATGATGTGCTCAGGGCTTTCTTACCTTTCAGGGGCCTGTTCTTAGCCAGGAAGTATGATGGTTTCTCTGAATGTTTTGTTTGACAAGTAGAAATCAAACCACATTGGCCATGTGCCCCAGGATATTTGATCGTGTGAGTGTTTTCCTTGTACTTTTCCAGTACCTTATATCAATAAACATCAAAATGTTGTGCGACAAATTAGGCACACATTGTTAGGCTGGCCTGGATCTCCCCCAGACAAGAGCATCATAAGCAAGAAAAACAGCCTTCAGGCAAATGGAGAGAAGGAAGGTTGAAAATGAGCTCACCCCTCTTCTTGCACTTGCTGTCTCAGTCTTCCCTGTTCCTCTAACACATCCTTTCTTCCTCATGCCCTGCATTTGGCCCAGCCTTGGGCTATTAAAAATGAAGTGATCTTCTCATTCATGAGGTTCTCCTCTCACCAGGGCTAACCCTCTGCTACGGCTTTGGCTGCACCATGACCGAAGTACCTGCGCAGAAGGACAGCGAGATCAGACGCCAAAACTCCAGCATGGGCTCTGGACACAAGGCTGACAAAGCCAGCCTGGCTTCAAGCCAGACACACTCTTTCAGCCACCAGCATCACCCTTCCCCTCCTGGCTCCAAAGAAGTGTGGAAAAAGGGTGGCCGCATGTTCTCCATCCTACTGGCCGTGCACCTCGCCCTGCTGGCCTGCACACTGGTGAGCAGCGGTGCTTTCGAGAAGATCGCCGTGCACGACTACGATGTGTTCTTCCTGCTGACCGTCATGATGCTCATAGTCATCGTGTGGATCATCTTCTACCTCGTCAACACCTCGCGGTGCCCGGACGCCATCCTCTGCAAAGACTCCCACGCGGGGCCTGTCTGGCTGAGAGGTAGGAGCTCTCAGTGGGGCTGGGAGGAGAAGTGAGGGGCAGGATGAACAGTTCACATGCACGTTGGTTACTACCCATATAATGTCCTTCCTTCTCTAAGCATCGTAAGCTACCTCAGAAAGTTTGTTCCTGGTCCCTCCAGTAGCGTCACTACAAAATCCCCTCTGATCCAAGGGCTCTTGGTGCTTTGCAACACCAGGTTCCTTCCCCAGCTTGCCACTTTCTCTTGCAAAAACCATTAGCCCTGTTCAGCACAGACAGCTGAACTAGATGACTTTCAAAGTCCCTTCCAGCCTAAACTATACTATGACTCTATTGACACCAAGAAAATGTGAATTTGGGGAGAGGAAAAACTAGAGTAGAAACAAAACATCTATGGCAATAGATCCTCTTTTCCTTTCCTCTTTTCCTGTCTGCATTGCCCACGTGTGCATACGTTTGTCTAATTATAGCTATTTGGATTCCTCAACAGGAGGCCTAATCCTATTTGCCATTTTCAGCCTTGTCATGGATGTGTTCAAAATAGGATATTACTCCAGCTTCTACAGCTGCCTATCTGCTATCAAAATCATCTACCCCATTGTGCAAGCAATATTTGTGATTGTCCAGGTGAGATGGCTGTGTTCTGTCTTGGGAATGGGTAGAGAGACAAGGGAAAAAGCTCTGGTCTCACAGGGCAGTCAGCTCACCCTGCAGAGACAGCTCATGCAGGTGAGAAAACATCTCTCCCTCCAGCTGATCCCACAACTACCGGCTGTGGGAACCCTCATCAAGACGGATTGTGGTTAAAACTTGTTCCCACCCAGCTACATTTTGATTAACAGCAGAATGGGCTGCCCCAAACTCTGATCCAGCCGCCAGTTTTCTTTCCCACGAGAAGAAGAGACAGAGAAGACAATAGGAATGGCAGGGCAGTCCCTACACACAGGTTCACCAGCTCTGGGCCAACTCCAAAGAGGTCAGATAGGGACAAGTTAGATAGGAACAAGGGCTGGGCATGGGTGGAGCAATGGCAGCAGGACTGGACAGAAGGGGCACAGCAAGAACAGAGCGTGTCTACCAAACCAAATCACCATGGTTATGAGCCAACAGGCTGGGCCCAGTTGGGCCCTGGCAAAGGAGGCTCCAGCTTGCTCTCTGCTGGGCATGGAGATGCCCACCCTAAAGGGGCAGGCTTTGCTTTCTTGCTTTGTTTGAAATAACCATTTCTTATCTTGTCCCTGCCAGACGTACTTCCTGTGGATCTCTGCCAAAGATTGTGTCCACGCACACCTGAATGTTACCAGGTGAGTGTAGTGCTTTGAATTCTCTCAGTCTGGGAGGACTGGACCACTGCAAACCTGCTGAACTTCCACAGAGCCGAGATGCAACAGGGAATAATGCCATCTTAATGCTGGCCACAGCTAAAGACTGCTGGGTTTCTCTCAAGCTAGTCCTAGATCTCTTGTGAATCTAGCAAAGAGGGGATCCAGCTCAAGAGCGCTAGCATTATTCAAGTAGAATTGTATTAAATGTTTCATAGCTTACCTCCTTTTGTGGGAAAGACAGTGCACCAGCAGGCATTCATCAGGGTAAATGGACAAGGAATAAGATCTCTGCCATTTTTGCAAGATTGGACCCATTGCAGACCAACTGGAACTTATTAAATCCCTACCAAGAGGCTCTTTGAGAGCAGAGCTCAGGCCTAATTCTCATTACATAATGCAACATAATCCTCTCAGGGTGGACAAGGAGTAAGAAGAGAGTGAGAGGAGCTAGAGAGAGCAGCACAGAAAGAGTCAAGATCTCTGGATTTAACACACAGTCCTCATAATTTCAGGCAGCTCCCACATGCTCTGTGAACCTGTGCGCATCTATTACACAGGTGGAAGCAATGAAGTCCAGAGCTGTGCCTTGATCTCATGCCCTTCCCATTCTTTTGCAGGTGTGGCTTGATGCTGACACTGACCACAAACTTAGCGGTGTGGATGTCCGCAGTGACAGACGAGTCTGTTCACAAAGCACATTCAAAGCTGAAGAAAAACGTGACAGAAGAAATCTTTAAATGGCTCATGAAAGGTAATCTCCCCATTTGCAAAGTCATCTGATACTGGGATGAAGCCCATGGGGTTCTGCAGGTCAGGCTTTGTCCATTTTCAGAAGGCTTGTCTAGAGTAGAAGGACCCTTTAACATAGTTGATTAACTGCAAGCTGGATTTTAATGTTCACTTCCTAACCTGCATCATAAAGGAGTCAGGAAGCGAAATGGGCCAGTGAAAACGGGACAGGAATGAAGAAAGGCAGGGAGAAAGAGAGCTTCACCTGCCACCTGTCTAACAGAGACAAGACTTCTTCAGAAGGAAGGTTGAAGTGTCCTGGTTCTCAAAGCTCTCTGATGCTCAGTCTTGTTTTTCATTGATCCCAATTATCTAGTTTTTCAGGGCTGCTCATAAAAGCTGTCTCCTTGCTTTAATACCATTGCACCTATGTGTTTTTTTCCCTCTGTTCCAGCTGGGATGAGAAGTGGCTCAACTGAAGAATGCAATTGCAACAGCCAAATCTGCCAGATTTTCAAGAACGGCTATTTTTGGCTATATCCCTTTAACATTGAGTACAGTCTCTTCGCTTCTGCCATGGTTTATGTCATGTGGAAGAATGTTGGACGCTTTATAGACCACCACTCCCACCACATTCACCGCCTGAAGTTCAGGCTCTTTCGAAGGACCTTCTTTGTAGGCATCGTGTTGGGCCTTATCATCTTGGTGAGTGGCTTGGGAGTCCTCATTGTTTATGAGGTACGGGTAAATTCCAGCCATGAAGCCAGCAAGAAGAATGAAGCTCTCACCATGTACTATATCTTCAACATTGTTTGTCTGGGCCTCATGTCTCTTGTCTGCATTGGTGGCTCTGTCATCTACCGTTTCGATAAGAGAGACATGGATCGCCACAAGAACCCAACCAGGACCCTAGACGTGGCCCTTTTGATGGGCGCTGCCTTGGGGCAATATGCAATTTCTTACTACTCCATTGTGGCCATTGTGGCCAGCACCCCGAGGGACAGTATCAGTGCACTCAACCTCACCTATGCCCTCCTGATGATTGCGCAGCACACCTTCCAAAACATCTTCATTATTGAAGGTCTCCATAGGCAACCGCCCAAGGAAGACCACAAACATGATCTGCGCCAGAAGGATCCCTATGGACTCACCTTTGTTAACGTTAATGCGGTGTCCCTCCGTGTACCTGACAGCGGAAGCACCATGACACCCAGCACTCTCCCCAGCATTGAAGCCATCCATCCTTCTGAGCTCGTGCAGTCCCTTGCAGGCCCCAAGAAGATCAACTGGAGGAGGAAGTTCTTAAGGGAGATCTCCATGTTCCTCCTGCTGAGCAATATCATAGTGAGTAGATGTGGAGAGAAAAGTTTCTCGGGGTGGGAGCAAAAGGAAATAAATTAAAGGGAGAAATATCTGTGAAGGACAGGATATGACCCTTGCCGAAAGTCCTCCTCCTGGTTCTGCTATACAGGTTGCAGACTTATTCATACTGCATATGCAGACAGGTCTCATTTCCTTGTTGTTTACAAGTAAAAGCAACTGCCTTGGAGCTAGGGATATTTTGGGCACAGCTCACAGAGGCTGTCCGTTATCACTGGCACATCAGACAACAAAATTGGTAGGTAGAAACAAGCATCAGTTTCAGTATTCTTATTGGGTATTACCAGAGATGTGCAATGCCTTATTAAAATGAATAAAATATATGAAGTCCTCCTCTTACACTCCCCCAAAAGATTGTCAAATCACAAATATCTGAAGTCCGCGTTCTCTTGAAAAAACACAGTGTGACTCCTCTTAGATCCCTCAGTCTAGAAGCCCAAATGAGGTTGCAGATCTCCACAGTTCTCAGTTGCTGTGAGGAGAAACCTTCAGTTGGAGTTTCCATTTCCCGAGCAGCCAAGGGATCACCAGACAGAGGATGCAGTTCCCTACCCTACTTGTCTCTCAGTAGCTGTTACTGCAGGTGCTCACTACCCCACGTATCTTTCTCACTGCAACATTATTCTTGCTTATTCTCAAACAGCTCTGGATCATGCCAGCGTTTGGTGCCCGACCCCAGTTTGACAATGATAAAGAACTGAACTTCTATGGTGATTCCATGTGGCCGGCCATTGTGGACATTTGCCTGCCCTTTGGGATCTTCTACCGAATGCATGCGGTGGCCAGCTTGCTGGAGGTCTACATCATGTCCTAGAGAACTCTACTGCAAGGAAGATGAAATCCTCCTCAGCAAATCCACCTACTCCCTACCCTAGGGCTGCAAGGCTGCCCAGATGTCCCCAGGAGTCTACAGCACTGCCCGAATCACGTCCCCTTGCAGTGTTGGATCATTTCTCTGCTGCCAGTGAAGATCATACAAACAGTCTAGATTTTATTTTTGTTACTTGTGTGTGTATGTGTATGTGTGTGGTTTAAGTTCTTAAAGCTTAAAGGAAAAAAGGGGAAAAGAGGAAGGTTTCCAGGGCAGGATCATGGTAATTGCACATGGTTCATGCCAAAAGACTCTTTCCTTCCTTCTTACAACCCTGATCCAGCCTGTACACTCCATGCCAGTGATTTGCTCTCCAGTTGGTGCTCAGCACCTTTGGAGGGTCACTGCCTGCCTGCAAATAG